TACCATTGGTCCACCCGCCTGTTTTAGTACCAGTACCATGCTGTTTTTGTCACGTGTTGTGTCCATCTACTCCTAAAAAAATAAATATTTTAAAAAAATACAAATTGAATGCTACTGCAATATTTTCTCTCATCAAATAGTCAAAAAATAATTAATGTTATCTTCACTAATTGCAAGGGTAGAAGAAAATGGAGCTTCTTGTACATACACTGGAGTTGTATCCAAAATGGTTTCTCATATTGTACAGTCATCTAGCAATACACATTAAAACCTTTTAACTGCCCACATGTTTTCATCTAGCGATCCAATTTCTAGAAATAATTCCTAAGACAACACTAGAAAATTGTCCTACAGTGCAAGTATAAGCAATTTATTCTAGTATTACCTATAGTGGCAAAAAAGTGAATAATCAATGTACAAGCACAAACACGTGTGTTTAAAACAAACAGGCTCATCTATAGCTCTGTTGTAGCGTTTAATGTTAGTTAACACCATTCTATCTATATATTTGTTAATTTATATAATTCCTCAATTGATGCAAAAATCAGATTGTCTAATTTTATTGTGATTCATATGAGTAAATGAATGACGGAACACACAGACACTTCAAGTTCACTCTTGGACTTGTATTCATACTGCTGTCCACCTGAATGAATATACATTTAGGATGACTCTCTATGGGAAGCAGTGTGTGAACTGAGTGACATTTGACCCATTAGGCAGGGAAGCCTGGTCTTGGGAACTCCCAGAAGGAATCCACTGGTTGGAAAATGCCCAATTTGCGTTGGTGCCAGGTTCTAGGTCACCATTCACGTTCAAGTACAGTCTTGGAGATGGGAGTGACTCGCTAAGAGCCAAACAGTCTGCGTACATCCACCTATATCCTGTTTTTCATGAAGAAGCAAGCACAGAGACAAGACTCCTCCCCCACTGAAATCTTATACTTACCGTTTTCCTTTGATCTGCACATAAATAAATAAAGCAAGCACAGGCTCCGTCTTTGTTAGAAGTCATACCCCTCTGGTCAGCCTAACCAATCACTGCCCCCTTCCTTTAAAATATATTTCTGGTCTTTTGTGTTTATTTCCTGGTTCTGCTTTCATAGCTTTACTTCAGCAGTCAGCCATCCCTCCCACAGGTACCCATTCCCTCGCCCATGCAGGATGTGTTCCTGAATGAAGAGCGCACGAAAAGGATGCTTCGTGCATTACTAATTGAGAGAGATTGTTGGAGTTTCTTATAAACCTATTTCTTCCTCCTTCTAAAGAGATGAGGATGAGTGCACAAACTATTGGGGATCAAGACAGGCACCTCTCATACATCTCAGCTGCAAAGACTACTTTGCCATCATGGAAGGACTCATGACCAATCCATTCTACCACTACCAAACCTGAAAGCGGTGTGTGGCTCCTCTGGGAAACTGTGGCATGATGCCCATAAGGCTGCCCAGAACATTATGCCTGCATGCAATGGTTCCACCAAGGATGTGGGCAAGGTCATCTTTGAGCTCAATGGTAAGCCTACTGGCATGGCCTCCCATGTGTCCACCCTCAATGTGTCAGTCATGGATCCTATCTGCTGACTGGAGAAAGATGCCAAATATGATGACATCAATAATGCGGTGAAGCAAACATCAGAGGACCCCCCTAAAGGACATCCTTGTCTACATGGAGAACCAGGATATCTCCTGCAACTTTAACAATGACACAACGACACTGACTTCTATCTTCAATGTTGGAGCTGGCATTGCCTTCAACTACCATTATGCAAAGCTCATTTCCTGATATGAACATGAATTAGGCTACAGTAACATAGTCCACATGGCCTCCAAGGAGTAAGAGCCCCTGGACCACCAGCCCCAGTCTCATCATGAAAGGAAGAGAAAGGTCCTCGGTTGCTGAGGAATTCCTGCTCCAACTCACTCAACATACTTAGAGTTTTCCTTATTCTCAGTTTCCATCCCAGCCCTGCTGAAGAAAGCGAAGAACTTAGGGAGACCTACTTGGTCACAAATGATCAATAAAGTTCACAACATCCAGGAAAATAAAAAAGCTGTCTGAAAGGAAGGGTGGTGGTGTGGTAGCACTAGTGAATTTTCCAGTCTCTATTTTGGGGGGATCATGGTGCACACACACAGTGGTACATAACCAGCTGTCTCAAATTAAAACAATTATAGTGGGCAGCACTGCTGTGACAGGAAACATTATTCCACATTGTTTTGATGGCTAGCCATACTTAATTTTAAAATATGCCATAATTTACTTATATAGCAAGTTCTTGACCATGCTATTATAAATTAGGCTGCTTTGGAAGTCCTGGGTATCTGAATATTAGTTCACATTCAAGACCATTTTTGTAATAGAAGGTCCTAGAAGTAAAAATGCTGGATACCAATATTCATGCAATTCTTAACACTTATTATTTAGATTTACCAATTTGACTATTCAGACTTACCAATCCTTCTCTTTACATTTTTCTGGATTACATTGCTTAAAATGATTTTCTGCTCTCTCAGAGGCTAAACACTTTCATACATCTTGATAGAGACTAAAGACTCCTATGTTCTCTCTCTCTTTGGTATTGGGGATTGAAAGAAGGGGCACTTTTCCACTGTACAGGCTCCTCTTGAGGGCCACTGTAGCAGTAGAATTGAGAGGAAAAATTGGAGGGTAAATCAGCAGGTAAAAAAGCAGCACAGTAGGATGTGGGGGAAAAGGTACACTCATACATTGCTGAAGGGACTGCATATTGGTGCAACCAGTATGGAAAGCAATGAAGAGATATCTCAGAAAACTTGGAATGCAACCACCATTTGACCCACTTACCTCACTCCTTGGCATATACACGAAGGACTTAAAATCAGCACACAATAGTGACACAGCCACATCAATGTTTATAGAAGCTCAATTCCCAATAGCTGAGATATGTAACCAACCTTGGTTCCTTTCAACAGATGAATGGATATTTGGCACTTACACACAATAGAATATTATTCAGCCATAAAGAATGAAATTATGGCATTTGCTGGTAAGTGGATGGAACTGGAGACTATCATGCTAAGTGAAATAAGCCAATCCCCCAAACCAAAAGCCGAAAGTTCTCTCTGATATGTGGATATTAACTCACAACAGTGGCGCAGAGTGGAGGTTTCCTGGATTGGACAAGGGGGAGTGATGGTAGGGAGGGAGAATGGGAATAGGAAAGAGTAGAATGAAGCAGACACAGTTTTCCTATGCTCATATATGAATACATGGCCAATGTAATGCCACAAGATGCACAACCTGTAAGGGCAGACACGGGTGACCAAAAGGAGGCAGATTAAAAGCTGCTGAACAAGGCTTTATTGAGATTCGCTCCTGGGTGAGACACTCCGGTCCAACAGAGCGGGTCCAGGGGAGTCACACTGAGGCTCAGCTGGGCTGGAATTTTATCGTCTTAGGGCAGGAAAGGAGGGCTTGGGACAGGAAAGGGAAGTTTTTAGGGCCCCTTGTCCTCCTGGGGTTGGTCAGAGAAACTTGCTGAACTCCAGGTCCTTCCAGGATCAATCAGGAGACCCCCACTGTTTGACAGGTGGTTATTATTGCTTGTTTGTTGGCGCTGATTGGTTGTTGCCTGGTGCTTTGTTCCCTTAGCCATGAGATTGGCTGATGGAGCTACGTATAAGAATTGGGATTGGCTAGTGCAGTCAGTCCCTCAAACTGACCTAACACAACCACAAAAAAAATTGGAAGTTATACTCCATGTAAGTATGATGTCAAAATAGATTCTACCATCATGTATAACTAAAAAGAATCAATAAAAATTTAAAAAGGAGTAGTATCAGCACAGAGAAAGGTGTAGACATCGAAGAATGAAAACTGGAGAGGGAGAAGGAAAAGCTTCCACTCTACCCCCACCCTGGGAAGGTCACACCCATCTCCAGGTGAGAAGGACTTGGTAGGAAAGAACTAGAAAGATAGCTCAAAGGCAGAGCACTTGCTTAGCATGTGTGAGGCACTAGGTTCAATCCTTAGCACTATATAAAACTGAACGACTAAAAGCATGCTGTCCATCTACAACTAAAAAAAAAAAGATAGCTCACAATACATACTGCTCATGTACAGGGATACACTTAAAAGGTTTGAGATTGGCTGATGGAGTTACCTATGAGAATTGGGATTGGCTAGTGCAGTCAACCCCATAGACTTTTGAATTTTCACCACAACTACCATATATATTCATTTCTTTGAGACAGACTGCAGTCACTGGGCAACCCTAACAGGTGTGAGTGAATGAGCCAGAGGGCTTAGGGAAAGTTGGACACTGCAGACCACGGCTTCAGAGGCTTTGAGGCCTTCTTTTCACAGGCGCCAATGTAACCATGAGCCTTGTGGTGGAGGGACCAGGACAAGGGAGAAGAGTGGGCTAAGAAGGGGAGGGGGTCAGGTGAAGGTGGGCTAAGTGTTGAGGGTGCATTTGGAGGTATCTGAGGCTTATAAATGCCTGAACTGGCTGCAAAAGGACAAATTCAGGAGTCCTCAATGGGAACCTGAGGGTGGGCAAATAGGGGGAGCCACAGTCTGCGTGGCAAGTGCAGGCCTCTGTGCGCATGCTCACTACGCACTGTCCCCTCAGCCTGTGGTGAGCTCGGTGCTGTTCGTGGGCAGTTCACATTACTAGTCTTGACTGATTTGGAATTTAGACGGTAGGTCCCAAGATTAATCCTCTAACAGGCTTAAGTGTGAGTATGAGGACTAGCCTAAGGGCTTCAGTGGGTGGAGCAGCGCAACCTGCCACCTGGAAGTTGGAAGAGCCTCGACAGTCATCCTTTCTATTTAAGACTGCAATGCGGCCGTAGGCATTGTCGTCTGGCAGGGCAGGAACCAAGGCGAGGAAGGGTTTAGGTGAAGACGGGGCGAGTGTTTGGTTGCTGTTGGAGGAGTCTGAGGCCAGAGGTGCCTGGAAAAGCCGAGAGAGGCTAGATTCCCGAGTGGGTTTGGGGGATGGGAGGGTGGGGGCGGAGTCTGGGAATCAGAGCACGAGGCACTCGCTGGCTTTAGTGCGCATGCGCACTGTTCAGCTTCCTGGCTGGTGTCCTCCGCGTGGTGCCTGGGGCGTTGAGTTGTGTGGGGTCTTCGTTTGTTCTCATTTGGTGGAATTTAACTGGTAGGTCTCACAAGCTTAAAGGGTTAGTGTTAGGAGCCGTTGGGCTTCTGTTGGGTTGGGCCGTGTGGCTTATTGTCTCAGAGGAAGCATCTCTCATGGTTGTGTTCTTCTTACCATTGTGCCACTAGTGTCTCGGATCTGGTTGTGGAGAGAAAAGACAAAAGAGGTAGGTGGGGTAAGAGGAGTAGGGACTCATTTGAAATGGGATGAAAAATTGAGGATTGTTTTGTCCTTTTTTGATACCGGGGGTTGAACCTACAGGCGATGAACCACTGAGCCACATCCGTACCCCTTTTTTATTTTTCATTTTGAGACAGGGTCTCCCAAAGTTGTTTAGGTCTTTGCTAAATTGCTGAGTGTGGCTTTGAATTGATGATCCACCTGCCTCAGCCTCCCAAATCACTGGGATTACAGGTGTGGGCCACAGTGCCGGGGTAGGTTTTGGAGATCTCCTTGGGTGTGGGCGGAGGTACCCAAGAGGACAGATGACTGATTAAGGAGTTTGAGTTGAAGGCTCAGGCAGTGAAACGAAACTGGCCCTAGCTGTGTTACAGAATCTCTTTATAAAGGAATCCAGTTATGAATTAAATCTCATTAGTAAAGCCCTCGTTTTAAAATCTAGTGCTTGAGGATCACCTGTCTGCCAAATTCGCTGTAAGAGAATCAAAAAGATTTGCAAATAGCTTTATTTTATGTGTTCGCAAAACAGACTTTTTTTTTTAAAACCCAGAACTTATTTTGGAAATACCACCAAATGAAAAAAAAATTGTGATCAGAAGTCAGCCATAGAAATATTCAAGTATAATTATTTTTGTTATTGTTGTTTTTAGCAGTCTTTGGTTTATGACTTCTATTTTCAGCGTGAAGTATGAGTGCAAGAGTAAGATCCAGATCCAGAGGAAGAGGAGATGGTCGAGAAGCTTCTGGTTCGGTTAAACCTGTGATTGTGAGTGTTTTAACATTTTATTTTAATTGGTAGAGGTTTGCTTTTTTATTTTTTTAGAAAACCAACACAGATCTGTTGTATAAAGGACATTCTTGCTGAAAATTGCTGGAAACTGAATGTCATGAATGAGACATTGAGCAAAGAGACTTATACTCTTATGTGGTCTGGCTCTGTATGTAATAAACCTGGGAATAGTCCCTATGACTTCCCAATCTGCTTATTAATAGCCCCTCCACAAGACTGAGATCCTAACTGAATAAGATATATGCAATGCTTGTATAAATATATAAAAATAGATTCTACTGTCAGGTATAACTAAAAAGACCAAATTAAAAAATTTTAAAACAGCCCAAAGAAGATTAAGATGTATTCCAAAATTATTGGTTCTTACAGGTAACACCTTTATTAGATTACTTTCTAGGTAGCAGTAGATAGCAAGAGTAACGTTTTTGTGTGGTGGTGGTGCTGGGCATAGAACCTAGGCCCTCCTGCATGCTAGGTAAGTGCTCTACCACTGACTTATACTCTCAGACCTAGATTAACTGGTTTGTTTGTTTGTTTGTTTGTTTTGGTGCCAGAGATTGAACCCTGGGATACTGAACCACATTCCCAGCCTTTTTTTTTTTTTAATTTTTGAGACAGGTTCTTGCGAAGTTGCTGAGACTGGCTTTGAATTTGCAAACCTCCTGCCTCAACCTATGGGATAATGGACATGCACAACCACTTCCAGTTTATAATAGCATTCTTTTTTTAAAAAAATATTTATTTTTAAGATGAACACCATATCTTTATATATTTTATTTATTTTTATGTGGTACTGAGGATCAAACCCAGTGCCTCACATGTGTGAGACAAGAACTCTACCGCTGAGCTATAACTCCAGCCCCTAATAACATTCTTAAGAGAGCTAACAGGAAGAGGATAAGACAAACCTCTTCATATTTGCTCTGATTAGTTATCTCATAGAGTAGTATGTATATTTGTGCTTTCTTTTGTCATTATATTAATAAAATACTCTTTATTTGCACCTATGCTTCCTGAAGGTTCTAAAGAACAGTGATAAAAAATCTCAAGAGAAACCACCACCAACTAAGAGTCAGGATATTGAAACTGGACAAGAAGAAGAAGAAGAAGGAATAATTGTGGTTGAAATTGAAGATGGTATGAAGGACTATTTTCTATTTTCATTTACATTAGTAGTAAAAATAAATAAAATATTCTCGGTAACTGAATGGAAACCTGTTTGCTAAGAAATGGTGTAGTTTTCAGCTGACCCTAGTCCTCCACTACGACAAATTTTTCTCTCAGCATTTTACCTATCATATATCAGAAGAGTTATTTGGCATGTTGGAAACTACAACACTTGCCAAGACTATACATGAACAAATCAAAAGATACATTAAATTTAGACAAAATTATAAATGGTTTTACTTAGCTAGTGGTCTTCTTGGGATGTTGTTTTCTGAGCTTAGGTCACTGCATCAAAAGTTTGAACAAGGGGCTGGGGTTGTGGCTAAGCAGTAGAGCGCTCGCCTAGTCTGTGGGAGGCCCTGGGTTTGATCCTCAGAACCACATAAAAATAAATAAATAAAAACAGAGGTATTAAAAAAAGATATTGAAAAAAAGTTTGAAACCTAGATGTTTTATGGTTAACTCATACTTTGCAGTTTTTAGAAAATTCCATAATACAAAGAAAAATGTGAAATTCTTTCCTAGTTGCTGTTAAAGTCTTCAATATGTTTGTCTTTCTGAACCATCATCTAGTTGTCACATAATTCTTTTCTAATTTTCATTTTTTAATTTTCATAAGAAAATATTTTAAAATTATCTAAAGTTATAAGGAAGTACAGGGAACACCTGTATACTGTTTGCCTTGATTGACCAATTGCTAATATTTTGCCATTCACTGCCTTCTTTTTACATGTTGATATGTATATTATTGCTAAATCATTTGAGAATAAGTTTCAAATATCACAATTCTTTGCTCCCTAAACAATTCAATATTCATCTTATAAAAATGGGGATATGCTCTTTAAAAGTCCCAGTACAATTATCAAATTAAAAAAATTTTAACATCAGTAAAGCATGATGTAATATAGTCTACTACAGTTTTTGTCATTTGACCTAATAACATTATTTATTGCACATTTTTCCTTCCTGATCAAATTTCAATCACAGCTACCCATTGCATTTAGTTTTCATATTTCTTTGGTCTTCTTTAACTTGGAAGTATTCCTCAGTCTTTGTCTTTCACAACATTTAGTACTAGATTCCAAACTGCTTATTTTTAAAAATATTTCTAAATTCTCGTTTGCCTCATATCAGTTTTCTTAAAGATCTTTTTCTCCTTTATTGGAACCTACTGAGTGCCAGATAATGTGTTAGATGCTGCAAATATAAATACAAATGAGAGAATGATTTTGGTCTTAAGCTCAGATCTATTCAGAGAAATGAATGTAAATGAGTAACTGATCTAAGGAGATAATTGCAATAATAGAAGTATATATAGGGTTCAATAGTGACAAATTGTTTTAACCGGTCTTAGGAAAGAAAAGCTCCATAGAGGAAGTTAAGAAGAACCCAGCTTCCTCATTTTCAAGCAGAAAACTCCAGTACTCCTTGCATTCTTAGGCATCACATTTGTTACAATAGTAGCCTAAATAACTTTATTTAATAACACTAATTTTTGGTTTACTGTTTACATTAATAACTCTTTTTATTTATACAAGAACCTGAACTTGATGTTGATTGCCTGGGAATGAATATGAAAAGTACTGTGTGTGAGGGTAAAGATGCCCCTGATATGAAAGAGAAGATTCCACGTAGACTGTGCTAAAATTCCGGAAACAGGTACCGTATCCATTAAGAAGTCATGGGGTTGCTCTTTTCTGCAATATTATGCTTTAATAACAAATCTCACATACAAAGATTATTTGAAAGGTAGTTCGGACATCAAATACTTGATTCAGAGACATTTTCAGGGAAAAGCAGTTAGGTCAAAACTATGTTGTTGAATTATAAAACATCACAGTATGACTATTTTGGCATAGATGTCATTTAACATCCAAGGCAAGTGATCAGATTCTTTTTAAAGTATGTGAAATCATTTAAAATATCCAAGGGTATCTAAATAGCACAATAGTGCTGCTTTTTTTTAACTTGCCAAAATTGTTTATGAAAATTAACTTTATATTTTAGACACCAGAAAAATAAGGTCTCTTTTGGGTTTTCTATGTTAATTTTTTTTTTAAAAATCATGAGCCAGGATGATGTAACTTAATGGTAGAGCACTTGCCTAGCATATGTGAGGCCCTACGTTCAATTCCCAGTACCATAATAAATAAGTACATAAATGAATAAATGTATTATGCAACTTTTCAGCCAGGCTGAGAAATTGTAGCATTTTCCTTATTTTTTTTTCTTTTAGTGTTGATAGGGATGGAACTCAGGGCTTCCTGCTTTCATTTTTAATGTCATCTCTTGTGGTGGCTTAAACTAGTATGACTAATTTTTACTATGCAAACTAGGATACTACTGAGAGTGAAAGGGAGTGATGTGAATATTTACACCAGCACAATAGTGCCCAATGGAATAGCCACTCTGCTGTAAATATAACACATAGCAAGCAGTTGAACTAGATCAATAAATATTTTTGCACTTTTGCACAAGAGCTTAACCAGATGAAGCACTTTTGTTTGAACTGTTTAGTGATTTCGGGTATCACTTATTACTTTAGCTAATAATTAATAGAGGGCTTTAAATCAGTACACTTGAATGGCACTGGGTTTGCTTGTTTTGGTTCTTGGAGTTTTTGTTTGGTTAATTTTTATAATTGAAATTACTATTTTGTCCTCTTCTGAAAATTATTGTTAAATGGTCTTAGATGATTTAATCTGTTCTGGGTTTTGAGAAGTCTTTTTTTTCATGTCACCAGAAAGAGGGATACATAATATTAGTAAAATTAGAGCTGGTATGCCTAAGGATGTGCATTAATATAGAAGTCTATGCAGTGATTAGGGTTCTGGTTTTAGTTTATTATATAAAAACAAAACTGTAGTGCCCTTCATGTGTGTTTTTAGTATCATCTCAGTAAAGTTCTGCTAATTTACCCAATTGTTGAATTTATATTTTAGGTGATATGCAGTCATAAGTTAAAAAGAAGATGAACCGAAGCCATACATGTTGTTATTGTATTAAAAATTTGACTTGTTAAATTTTCTTAATAAAGTTTTGCTGTTTTCTCTGAAGGAGTCATATCTTTTGTTAAATCTGTTCCTAAGAAGTCGATATTATTATAAATGGCATCTTAAAAACTCTCCATGTTCTGCCAGGCGTGGTGGTCACACCTGTAATCCTGGTGGCTCAGGAGGCTGAGGCAGTAGGATCCCGACTTCAAAGCCAGTCTTAGAAAAGCGAGGTCCTAAGCAACTCAGTAAGACCCTGTCAGTAAATAAAATACAAAATAGGGCTGGGGATGTGGCTCAGTGGTCGAGTGCCCTTGAGTTCAATCCCCAGTACTGCCCCCCACAAAACCTCTCCATGTTCTGTTCAGAATTGATGTATTTTTTGTATGTGTGTGTTTTTTTGTATGTTGATTTCTGCATCTGGCAGCCTTGCTAAACTTGTTTATCTTACTAGTTTATCACTACATCTTTTGATTTTTCTGCATACACAATCATATCTTATGCGGACAATGACCATTTTATTTCTTCCCTTTGAATCTTTTAAAAAATATTTTTAGTTATAGATGGACACAATACCTTTTTTTATGGAGTGCTGAGAATTGAACCCAGTGCCTCACATGTTCTAAGCAAGTGCTCTGCCACTGTGCTACAACCCCAGCCCCCCTTTTGAATCTTTATACTTTTATTTTTTTTTTGTCCTTACCTCATGGTACTGGCCTGACCTTTAAAGTACATTGTTGACTAGAAATGATGCTAGGAGACATCTTTGTCATATTCCTAAACTCAAAGGAAACACTTTCAATGTCACTGTGATGAATACTCTAGTGGTTTTCTTAAATGTAGATACTGTCTATTAGATTAAGAATGTTCTTTTTATTCCTAGTTTGCCAAGAGTACTTATTATGATTTGGGTGTGGTAGCATCCATCTGTAATCCCAGTGGCTCAGGAGGCTGAGGCAGGAGGATCACAGATTTGTAGCCAGTTTTTGCAATTTAGTGAGGCTGTAAGCAACCTAGTGACACCTCTCTTAAAATAAAAGACAAAGTGCTGGGGATGTGTCTCAGTGGCTAAGTGACCTGGGGGTATTCCCTGGTTCCAAAACAAAACCCAAACAACACAAAGTACTTACAATGAATTATGAATATACATTGAATTGTTCTGCATATGTTGTGATTATGTGTTTTGTTTGTCTATTAATCTGTTAATGTGGCATCCCTAGAATAAGCCTAGTTTAAAGCATGTTATATTGTCATTTTGATATATTGCTGCTTCCTTGTCCTAATGATTAGGATTTTTATAGTTTTGTTCACAAGTGAAATTGTCCTGTAATTTTTTGTGTGTATTCTTAATATCAAGCCTTTCCCCCCCATTTTATTGTTTCTTTTTAGTTACACGTGACATGGGAGTTCATTTTGACATAGCTAAAAAAAAAAAAAAAGGAATGTAATTTGCACAAATTCAGTCCCCAGTCTTTCCCTCTCTTCCTCCCTCTCTCTGTCCCCTTCCCTCTACTATACTGATCCTTCTATTTACTTTTAGATATTTTCTGGTTAGTGTTTTGTGGATATATGTGATGGTATGATTCATTGTGGTATATTCACATATGTACATAGGAGAGGTAGGTCAGATTCATCCACTGTTCTTCCCTTATCCATGTCAACTTTTTAAATCAAATTTATTCCAGTTTCATAAAATGAGTTGGAATGTGTATCCTGTATTTTTCTATTTTCTGTTAAAAAATGTCATCTTATATTGGATCAATTTCTTAAGTGTTCATATAATTTGGCAGTGAAGCCATGGGTCTAGGGTTCTTTGGAGGGAAGTTTTAAGTTAATGATACAATATCTTTAGTAGAAATGAGACCATTTCAATATTCTATTTTTCCTGTTTGGTTAAATTTTATTTTTCTAGTACTTTGTCCATGTTGTCTAAATTCGCATTACACAAAATTGTCCATAATATCCATTCCTAAACTTCTTAATGTTTACTGGATCTATAGTGATACTTTGGCTCCACATAGCTCACAAAGAGTGAGCCCAGAACAGGAGCTCAAGTCTTGGGCATAGCTAGAAGCATGGGGAAGCAGATTCAACTACTGCTTCCAGGGAATAATATACCCCAGGAAAGATGTCAGCATTCATGACTGAAGAGCGGGTATGAATGTTCCAGGAAGAGCCTCTTCCCAGAGTTCTGATAGTAACTGGCTGTGGCCTAGCACATGTTGGTAGGCTTGTGGGGCTGTGCTGCCTGATTATGCACCTGCAAAGATCAAATGCCACCAGCCCCTTGGCACAAGAGATCACAGAGACCCTTCAGTCCATGCCCAACCCTCTCTTTCTGCTGGCAGCTCCATAGGTTTTACTTCTCTTCCCACCCCCTAGGGCTTAAGAGTCTGGATTGTGTCCCATAGCTTGCACCCTTTTCTCAGTGCTGTCAGTTCTAGATATATCTCTGTGGTGCCTTGTCCGCATGGGCTTTGGTGGCTGAATTCTACCCATGGGCTACTCAGCATCTATTGGGGCAGAAGGCCAGCTGCCAAACCCTCATCCTACCCTTGGCCTTGGGAGTCTAAGGAGGAGGCAAGAAGCTGGTATGGTCTCTGCAGAACACTGATAAGATGGGAAAGGGGAGGTGCCACTCAGTCCAAGTGGCCTTGGATACAACAGTGTTCTGTCTCCACTCCCATCAGAAGTCCAGGCCTGCTCCCAAATGGAGCTGGAGTTTCATCCTTTGGGGAAGAGCAGAACAGGACCTGGGTGAGAGGGGAAACTGGGACTCTGGCCAGCGACCTGCACTAAAGAGATGAACTAGGATCAAAAGAGCTGACTGTGGGGGCAGGAGTTGTGGCTTAGTGGTAAAGCGGTCACCTAGCATTTGTGAGGTCCTGGGTTTGATCCTCAACACCACATATAAATAAATAAAATAAAAGTAATGTGTCCAACTACAACTAAAAAATAAATATTCAGAAACAAAATGAAACTAAAAAAGAGCTGGCCGCAACATTAAGCTAAGAAAATGGCGAAAAAGCACAGGACACAGAAGTAATTTTCATATCGAGGGCGGGACTACTCTGCGAACTTAAAGGTCAGCTTCCACAATGGAAAGAGCTCTGGAAAAGAGTGTACCTGGAATCTCTTTATTTTTATAGGGTGACACACAAAGGAGTTTCAATAGAATGTTCTTCACCAGATAAGACAGGGGATAAGGTTTCAAGGGGGGCTTGTCCAGTCCCATTGGGTAACGCTCAAGTCCAGAGCTAGAGCAAACTTCTTTGCCGAGCAAAGGTGGAGTCCACTTGCATTGCACAGCGTAAGGTATGCAATGCCAGACCAACACCTGTCATGTTGCATGCGACTTAAACACTCAGGGTCACTCCAGGGGAACTGGGCTGTGTAAAATAACCACACAAGAGGCAGAGACACCTTTTTCTTCGAGGTTTCTGTGCTTCATGAACAGTGTGGGGGCCTAGAAGTCTTTGCTGGAGTGCAGTTGATAGTACCATGGATGGGAAGAAAAATGAGTTGGTTTGAAAAATGAGTTCTTAAAAGCTGTATTCTACATTTACCATGTAAATGAAGCTCTCTTGAGTCTCAGTCTCATTGGATGTAAGATATAGATAATTCCTTCCTCACAGGAATTTCATATTGATTACATGAGATAAAAAGTGGCAATGTGCAAAGATCTAGGCCTATCCAAAGGCATTGTGAATGTTGACTGCATCCAAATTGAGATTTTTCTCTGGGACCTGCCTAGGGCCTGAATATAGCAGAGGTGAGGACCAGTCCCACCTGAGACCCTTCAACAGAATTACCTTACATCACATCACACTTCCCCCCTTGCAGACTGCCAGCTCTCTAACTCTCTCACATTCACTGTCATCTCCTGATGTGGTGTACCAGACAACTCGCTCCCTAGTACACAGGTGAGCATAAACAGTGTCATATTCAAGGCCTGTAATTGAAGACCAGAGGCAAGAGCAGTCTCAGCTCACATCTGAGTTTGAGATACGATGCTAATCAGAAGCATGCTGTAGAACAGTGCATAGAATATGGTCCTCTGTAAGATACAGTGTGTATAAAATATGCTTATTTATGGATGAATATGCAAAAATGCTAACATTTGTTATTACTAGTTCCACTGGGATGATAAGCAAGGAGAAGAGGAAACTTTTAATTTTTATTAATCATTATCATTTGAATATTTATATCATGAGCATGTATTGCTTTTATAGTGAAAAAAAGTCAAAAGATACCAATGATATATTATCATATCACTGACTATCATCAATATCACATTGATGCCACATTATGTTTTGGCTGACAAACCACATATATGATGGTGGTCCTATAAGATTGTAATGGAACTGAAAAATTCCTATTGTCTAGTGATGTCATAGACATTGTAAAGTTGCAGTACAACATATTACTTGTGTTTGTGATGATGGTATTGTAAAGCAACTGTGCTACCAGTTGGATAATAAGCACATACAATTAGGTACTATACACGATACTTGATAATTATAACAAATGGCTATTTTACTAGTTTAGGCACTTAAGACCTTCATTGTTATTTTAGAGTATACTCCTACTTTTAAAAGAAAGTTGACTGTAAAACAGTATACTCTGTCACTGGTAGCAACCTCATGTCATGTTTATTGCATCAGAAAGCCATGCCAAGTGATTGACCTATACCATCTGGCTTTGTGTAAGTACATACTTTGATGTTCACATGGTGATGCAATTGGCTATTAATGCGTTTCTCAGAATGTATCCCTGTTGTTAAGCAATGTATAACTGTAGATGTTCGATAGATGGAAAATAGAGGTAAATTATATGAAGATGGACAAAAATTAGATAGCTCTGTGCCTCAGTTTGCTCATATGTGAAATGGTAGCTATTTCATAGATTTATTATGAGGATTAAATGACTTCATGTTTCCAAGTCCTTGGAATGGTGCCTGGTACACAGTATGTGCTCAGTAAATGTTCTTAAATAATTGATGGTGTGAAGGAGGTAGACAGGCTGGCTGGATGTGATAATCTCTTTCGCCATCTTGTGGTGGG